AGCCCAGGATTTTGGGATTAGCCTGGGCAACATGGTTAAAACATGTCTCTACAAAAAATACAAATACACATACACACACATACACACCCCCACACACACACACAGAGAGAGAGAGTGAGAGAGAGAGAGAGAGAGAGAGAGAGAGAGAAATTAGCCAGGCATCTTTGTGCATGCCTATAGTCCCAGCTACTCTGGAGGCTGAGGTGGGAGGATTGCTTAACTTGGAGAGAAGAAGGCTGCAGTGAGCCCTGATTGCACCACGCCAGCCTGGGAAACAGTGAGACTTTGTCTCAAAATAAATAAATAAATTTTATTTTGTTTTCAATGTGACACATGATCTTCCAATTCCTCTCAAACTTCAGCAGTACGTTGTCCTTTAAAATTAGTGATTTTCAAATTCCATCACTACTTTATCATAGCATACAAATTTTTAATCAGAGATTAATAGAAAAATCTTATTTTTAAAAAAATTTTCCTGCCAACATAAATTACTGAATGTGAAAGCACTAAGAGCAATTTCTCTACATTATTCATTTCTGTTTTCTTTCGATTTAACTTTCAATGATGGATTTTCATAGGTGAGTTAACATCTTAGTATTCTTAAAACTTTTCCATAAACATGATTTTGTTTCAGAAATATGACATTTGATAAATGAAATAAGATAACATTGTAAATATGCTAAGAAAAAAAAAAGTCACCTTGGGAATACAGTGATTTACATTCTACTATAAATATACTCCCAAGTACTCAGAGTTTAACTTTCAAATGTATTGTAAAACACAGAAATCTGTTTATTCATTCTGTATATAATATCAATCTTTTCTTAAGAAATGAGATAAGACAAAAACCTATCTCTACCAAAAATACAAAAAAGTAATCTGGGTGTGGAGCTGAACACTTACAGTTTCAGCTACTGGGAGACTGAGCTAGGAGGACTGCTTGACCCAGGGAAGTGAAGACTGCAGTGAACTGTGATTGTGCCACTGCACTCCAGCCTGGGTGACAGAACAAGACCCTGTCTCAAAATACATACATGTATATGTAAAGGAATTTTATACATATATATTCATATATGCATAAAGGAACTTTATACTTATCTTTTCAGTTGAAATATAACATGTTTATATTAAAATGAATAAATAGCATCAAATACTACTTGTGCTTTTAAAAAGAATATTGTGGAACTATCAACTATATTAAGGTGTAAAATATTACACCTCCACAATCTTCACTTATGCCTCTAGTCAGTCACTAGGCCTCCCAAAAATGTAATCAGTATTCTGGCATCTACCACCATAACAGACTCTGCTTGTTTTTGAATATCATCAGTGTGTAATATTCTATTTGTGAATTTTTTGACGAACCAAGATCTATGAGATTTGTCTGTGTTGTACATATTCATGGGTTGTTATTTCTTATTGCTGTATACTAGTCAATTGTGGGAATAATTATAATTTATTTATCCATCCCACTTTATCATTTTAGTGTTGGGGTAATTTTGGTCATTTCTCCTTTGAGTGCTATGAATAATGCTTCATTAAATATTCTTATCTTTGATGACATATATAAAGATTTTTGCTGGGTGTATATCTAGGAATTTAATTAATGAGTCATAAGTGTACATATGTTAGTGGATACTACTAAAGAATTTAAAAGTGGTTATAAAAATAAATGCTTTCACCAAAAGTATATAAGAGTTTCTGTTACTGTATATTACTACTAACACTTGGGCACTTCAATTGTATTTAATTTTAGTTTTTCAAATACTTTTGTAATGATATTTCATTGTGACTTTGTTTCTCTGATGAGTAAATATGTTGAGCATATTTCTTAAGATTACTTTGGGATAACATCTAAAAACTGACTGTCTAATTTATTTATTCATTTTATTTATTTATTCATTTTATTTTATTCTATTTATTTATTTATTTTATTTTTGATAATCTATATTTTCATTATTGATTTGTAGTTGTTCTTTATGTATTTTATAAACCTTCTGTTAGTAATTTGTGGGGCAAATATCTTGTCCTAGTCCTTAGATTTCCAGTTATTCTTTTGAAATTGCCTTTTGATGAACAGTTTTAAAAAATTGTAATAAAGTCTAATTTATAAGTATTTTTCCTCATAGCAAATGATTATGTTCAGTTGAGGAAATATCAACCTATTCAAATGTCATCTCTATGTAAAGTTGCATAAAATTTATTGTTTCACCTTTTGTATTTTCATTTTGGTTTATGATCCATCTAGAATTGATTTTGTATGTGATATGAATTGGAAGTAATCTTTTTTCCATATGGTACATTATTCCAATATAATTCTTGAAAATGCCACTGTTTTCCCTTCCATTCCAGTGAATTATTAATGAAATTCAGGTGACCTGCTACTTTTACAGTTCTAGAACTTCTAGTTTTTAGCATTACATATGTATATTTCAGGTTGTAGAGGCTTAACAGAGATTATATTTTGATAATTTAATCATGGTTATTTATATCTGGTTTATATTTGAGTATTTCCGTGTCTTTTAAAATTCTTCTTCATTTAGTCCTATTTGCTAGTGTGCTAGGTAAAATGGTGGATACTTTACGTGAAAAGTTGTAAAGTCTCTGGATCATATTATCATCCTTCAGAGAAGACTTCGTTTCCTACACACAGATAGCATATACAGAAAACACTTCACTCCAACAGAGACTACAAATATTTGAAGCTTTATTCTGAGTTTTGTGACAGTTCTTCTATTTCTTATTTGTCCTTTCTCTTAGGGCATACTCCTTTAGGACTATCAACTATAAACCTGGGTAGTTTGGGCGCCTGAGTTCCTTCTTAGGCTTTAACTTTTTCCATTCTAGCACTTTGAGACTGCCAAAACTTTAGCGTAGTTTTCATCCATTGACCAGATTGTTGCTTTGTTGTTTTAACCTTTTGCTATGGAAAGGTACAATTTAGGAATTGATAAAATTCTCATAGGATAGCCATATACAAAAGACCTAGCTCAACTTCCAGGACTCCATTTCTCTGGCATTTTGGCCTTTTCATCCTGGATGCGGTGCTGTCCATGAATTCTAATGTCTGTTTCCCCAGCTCACTGAAAACAACTCAAACTCTAAGCTACACTCACTCCTCAGCCACTACAACTTGAAGATAAAATCGGCGACTAGTCTTGAAGGGAAGGCTGCTTTCAATGCAAATTTGATACATGTGTTTATAGTCTTTTCCCTCAAGTTCTGGTACCTTAGGTGTTTTCTAATGCTTCCAATCAGTTATTTTAATTTATTTGTTGCTTTTATAATTTGTTAAATTTTTATAGTTGTCAACGAGTGATGATATATGATGTGAGTTACTCATCATAGCTAGGAATAGAACTCAAGATTAATTTGTATCCAGTTATATGGGAGGTAATAAAGATGTAAACAAATAGTAATGATAAAATACAAGTCATTTGATTCCCCAACACTCTAACCAGATTTTTAGAAAGTTCTGGGCAGTAAATTTTTAACTAGTCAGAAAGTTCCCTGATGTGGCATGCCATCAAATCCTCCACCATCCATTGAGCAGCAATGATTCTCTCTTTAACAAGATCTGAAACTCAGTCCTCAAAGGTAGAGAGAGAGGGTCTTTCATGAGTACACTACATTAGCCCTAGGAGCATGGCTCCTCTTTATACCCTCTATTCTTTTATTTTGAAAGTTCTTTTTACCTCTTATTCCCATTCTCTCATTACCATGTTACTTTTATTCCTCACTATAGTTAATTTTTATATATATGATTATGTATGACATATATACACAGATTTGTCTGTATATGTATTACACAAACACAGATATATAATATGATTATAATTATATATGAATATATATAATATATATGTCAGCATATATAATATACATATATATTCAGTTCAAATTAATATATATTGTAATATATTCTGCCCAAACCTGTTGTTTCTCTCTCCTGACAATCCTAACTGATGAAGACATGTAAGTAAGAGTTTTGAGGAAGATCCAGTCATAAGTAGCTGGGACATGACTACTTTAAATATGGTTTTTGAATGAGTGCCCTGGGCCTGAAAAGACTGGTACAGAGAAGACAACAAAATATAGGTAAAATATAAATTCAGACTAGGTATATCAATAATGAAGTGTTGACACTAAATCAGCAGGATGCTTGCCTACTTAAACTCAGAAATACTCAGAATTCAAAAGAGGGTGATACCAGAATAAGGATATGGATAACCTAATCTATACAGGCTAATTGACTGCAAGATCAGAAAGTTGAGTTGGTAAAAACAATAGATAAATATTAATGAAATATAGCTATTCTTGGAGAGGCATGATATGGTAGTTAAAAATCACACATTTACAAAAAGATAGTCAGATTTGAATTCTGGAAGTGCTTCTGTTTAACGGTGAAAATGTGGCAACATTTTAAGCCTTCAGGCCCTGAATTTTCTGAAAATGGAAAAAACATCTTAAGTCTCTTCAGTCATAGGTATGTATGTGTTTGTGTGTATGTGTATTCACATGCATGATTACAGGGAAAGCAAATAGAGCGATAACAACAGACATATATTTTAAGAAGAGGAAAAAAGTAAGTAGAGTGAAAACAACATACACACATGAAGAAGTAGGAAAGGAAGCGGAGATATAACAAGAGCCAAGGTGGATGGTTTTCAGCATTATCATAAACATCATCAGCAACGTTTTCACCGTCATCGTTGTCAGCAGCAGCAGTAGTGCCAACATCAATACCATCATATTAATAATAAAATGCAGTGGTAGCAGAACTAAAATCATTTCTCAGAGAACTCTATACCCCAGAACTTTTTGCCCTGGAGCGGACATAAACCTCTTAATCTAATTTTTTAGACTCTAAAAGCCTGAAGGCATGAGCAGAGCCTTCTTAAAAGTTTTCAGAAATATTGCTATAAGCTATATTTTCCCTAGCGTAATAATCTGAAAGCAAGTAAAGAACTCATTTTAATTTTTAAAAATACTTTTGATTGATCTTTTTGTAGTTCATGAATGACTGGGTGTTCACGCACATGTGTGAGATGTGCTATCCTTGAACCTTGTTACGATGTCGGCACATTACTGGTCTGACTTGAGAAGAAAAAAAAGTTTTTGATAATTGTTTTTCACTGACATATACTTCTCCAATATGACGTCGATACAAAATTGAATTATCTAAATCATAACATATAAGTGTGACAGAGACCATTTCTTTAAGAATATCTATTACTCCCATTACTAATAATTTACTTAATAAAAATCATTTTGGTAATTGTGTTTCACATGCCACTTTTTCAGGGGAAAATGTGTCTGACAGGTTCATAGACAATTCAGCTCTTTATTTATTCTTTAAATAAATGTATTTTAGGTTAATATGTTGATATTCTGCATTTTACATTGATGTGTTACACATTTTGTCAATATGAATTAGCTTCTTTATTTTCAGTTCACTCTCTGATACTGAAGAGATTAAGATTCTAAGCCATCAGGACCAAATTTAAGATAATGGTGAATTCATGAAGGTAAATATGACCTTATGATTTGACCTATATGGGTAACCACTGAGCCTTCTCAATAACATTTTCACTAGACACATTCCCAGTATAGAATTCCAAGGCAAAACTAAACAAACTTTCAAGATTTTTTAAAATCCAATTTGTTATGCTCTCTTTATATAATAATCCATAGATATTTGAAAGCCATTTGTGCAAGTTTAAGAGTTAAAATAACATGGAAATAGTATCATAAGATGAGATGAATTCCACAAATATGTCTTATAAAAGTGCCATATGAATTCACATAATATTCAAGATGAAAACATTATATATAACCTAAAATTGTTCATATTTTGAAAATATATAGTTAGCCAGTGTGATAGTCTTCTTATAATTTTGTTATATATATATAGTTTAGTCCACAGTACAAATTTAACTGTTACCTAAACTTGCCTGATGGGTACTTACAGTTAAAATCATATGCATGTAAAATTACCCCGCAAAGAAAGGAATAGAGGATAAAAACAGTTTTGTTTCAAATATAACATTTTCATATTCTATTTGAGGGCCAATTACGTGATAAATTAATAACCGTACTCTTCAAAGTTATTTTTCTTTAACATTTTTACAGGACTTACCATTATTACTGCTTTTATCATAGGCAACGATTTCGATCCTTGAAGATTCTGAAGCTGTATTTATTAAAGTAATTCATTATTGTAGGAATGTAGAATGTAGTAACATTAAACAACATATAACTTTTTATATAACTCTACTAGGTTTAGTTCTAAAATAGTGAAAATTTGATATAACAAATAATTAAAGGGAAAAACAAATGTAAATTAAACATAAGATTTTACTTTCTTCATTAAAAGTAAATTAAGACGTTAGCAAACGATTATCTAAGCTATCCTCTCACTCAGCTCAAACCAGCTGCATCTGTGAGTCAGATTATTTTCAATTGCCTTTAATTAGGAGTTTTTGTGACTCTCTCAGAGGTTGCAAATTAAAGAGAACACTAATCGGCAGAATCTGTACTGCTCTAAAAGGAAATATCCTAGGGAGATCTTGAAATAATGATAAAGAATCTCAGTAGCAACAGGAAGGCAATGATAGGGAATGTATCAAGAAGTAACAAAAAGAAGTAAAAGAAAAGAAAAAAGAGAATCATTGAAGTCTCAGACTTGATACTATAAAAATAAGACGCAGAAAACATTAGCTAAGTTTGTCTCCTATGATTAACAAAAATTGAAAAATAAATCTACCATCTAATCAGAGATACTTTATGCTCTACTAAGTAGCTACATGAGGTTACCTAATGACTCTGATTTTTGGTGTATGATTAGTTTTAAACATTAGCCAAATTTGAGGCAAATCGGTATTTTCAATTTTTCTTCTACCCTTCCAAATATCACATAATACTATAGCTCATACTATTTTCTGAAATGTGAAAAAAACAAAAGCTCTGAGCTTACATTGCAAATTGTGTCTCATTATCCCAGGTTTTTATTTTCATTTTTGATTTTTAAATTTTTGTGCGGCCAGAGCATTGTGAATGCTGGATTTTTAAAAATTAGAGTAAATCATGCCTCAGATATAGCCCTGAAGCAAAATAATTATTCCAATCCTGTTTCCAACTTAGAACACTTTCTTCTGAAACTCCCCTAATAAGTTGGGTTGCATTTTTATAAACACAACTATGAATGTTGTTTATAATTTTTAAACTACTCTATAAAATTTAACCATCTACCTCGCATTTATCTATGTATATACAGCTTTGTATATTTGTACACCTAACTACAACTTCCAGCTATACTTCTTCCAAAATAAAATCAAGATTAAATCAGTTAAAAAATAGCTCTGTAAGATCAAGAGAAGTCTGTCTGGTGTGTTTTCATATGGATTATTATTATTATTCATTTTTAAATTCAGTACATTTATATACCGTGAATTGTCAAGTTACTATATCCATTGATAGGTAGCATCTGAGCTATTGTTGTACCATTCCAAAAGGAACAATTAATAGAAACTATTGAATAGTTTTATTTTTTACATTGTCTTGTTTTCCTGTCTCTATGCAGCAATTTATACAGACAGGTTAGTTTTACCTTATCTCTTTAAAGACATAATGGTTCAATGTATTTCCTCGTATATCCCTCAAAATTATGTACTAACATCATGATGGATGTCAGCCATAGAAAAATAAAGATGATATGCTCCCATTATTTCATGGTCCTATATTTTACAGAGGGTTTTGTGTGGTTCTGTTATTGTGCTTCAGAAGGGATAGTCATGCATGCTTATTTGCATATTGTTTCAAAAATTAATTCAGAATTTTATATATAAAAATATTATTTTCATTTAATGCACATACACATTTAATTTGTATGCAACAGAATATAAACTAAGCCTCACACAACTATATTAACATTGATGTAATTCAGACTTTTTTTTAGAAAAAGTACATAATGTATAACATACATTGAAAAGAGGGACAGTGGGGGGTGGGGAGCTGGGGAAAGATAGCAAGGGGAGAAATGCCAGATGTAGGTGATGGGGAGGAAGGCAGCAAATCACACTGCCACGTGTGTTCCTATGCAACAATTTTGCATGTTCTTCACATGTACCCCAAAACCTAAAATGCAATAAAATAAATAAATGGGAAAAAAAAATTAAAAAAAAAAAAAGAAAATACAATATGAAAAATGTAATGGTTGCACAGAAGGGCCTAATTTGCTATTTAGAAAGAGCATATGTCTCTGCTGCCTTCACTTACATTTAAAAAATATTTATAGAAAATTCCTTAACCCAAATGTACTGTTTGATCTTTGTGATTACATAAGGCAAAGTGAAACAAACAAACAAACAAACAAACAAAACAATCAGTTGTTTCCTCACTAAAAATGTTGAGGAGCACTTTATCAACGACTCCATTCACTCTGTATCCCCAGCTCTCCTTAATCCTGTTATCCATTCTTTCATTCATTCATTCAGCAGAATTTATTGGGTGAAAGAACTGGATATAAATGAATTTTTAAAAACTATGATAATATTTTCTTTTCTTGTGAAACATACATTTTAGTGGGGGACCGAGTAAGACAATAAATGATTAAATTTTATAGTTTTTTATGAAGGCATAAATGCTACATTAGAATGGGGTAAGGAAGATTGAGGGGGAGGGTAGAAAGCAGTTTTAAAAATGATGATGGTATGAATGGTTAAGAGAGGTTTCACTTAAGCAAAGCTTTGACAACAGTCTTGAGGGATTCAGCCATGAAGAGATGTTGAGAGAAAGAACATTCCAGGCAGACAGAAGCCAGTGAAGGCCTGATGACCATTGTGGAAGCCTGTGTGGCTGGAATGAAGTGAGGGAGGGAGGACAAGGCAGGAGAGTCAAAGGTCCTGTGGGGGCAGGTGACGTACTGCTTTGCAGACCCTTGTAAAGACTGTGATTATGTCTGAATGAAATGAATAGTCATTGAATGGTGTCAGCAGAGAAGTGATACAACCCAAAGATGATTTGAAAAGGATCACTGTTGAGAGTAGACTGAGGAAAGGGTGTAAGGATAAAGACCAGTTAAGGAACAACTTAGTGTACGACTCTTGAGAAAATGCCGGTTTCTCCAGAGAGGGTTTGCCTGTGTGTGTGCCCATGCGTGATGATTTTGCTATGGTTGCCACATTCACTAAAATATTTCCTAATGAAAATGTATTGTATCCACTTTAGGTGGGTAGGTGTGAAAATATTTAATACTCGTATGTATAAAATCTTATAAAGATTGACTGCCGGTAGTCATAGCCCCTTAGGGGGTAAGAGTGGGATGTGTCACATAATATTTTGGTGAGAAAGAAAGTTTTACATTTGACAGACTCAAATCACAGTAAAATATTAGTAGTTCTCTTTTTATTACTAAATGATTTGATGTGCTAAATAACAAAATATATTTTAAGATTAGGGAAATATTTTCTTATCTATAAAAATACACTTTTTATTAATATAACTATAATGATTAAACAAATAATAAATGAGATAATTTATATACGTTTAATTTTTTCTTTTGTCATTCTAAGAATAATGTAGAATGCTTGCTTATTAAAGAATTAAAACTTCTCAGTAACATAAAATTTGATTTTTCATTCAATAAAGCTGAGAAGGTATTGATGGAACAAAAATATCTGAGCACAAATGTTTCTCTCAACTGATTCAAATATGAACTGAAAGGAACAAGAAAATGACAAGTATCAAGAATCTATTTCTACCCTCTTCTGTTGCTATTACCATATTTTGACCAACTTAAGGTACATTGGCCAGTTACAGGAGTTGGTGATTACCTATAGAGTACTCTGGGCCTTTGTAGTTTTCTCTTCTGCAAAAAAAGCACTAATAACTCTTCTAGAGTATCAGTGGAAATGAAATCATTTAATGTGTGTAAGTTATTCAGAATAGTTAATGTTACGTCACAAGAGGTATCTTAACCAGAATTATAATGTTATTTTATTCAATATAATGTTCACATTTAATCTGCTTTCCTACATTTTTATATGATTATATAAAATATTTATTTCTGATAATTATTTATCAAAATAATTAAAATGAT